GACCCGAAAAAAAAACGACAGTGTTACCCCTTTCGTTTTTCGTTTTGGGCGAAAAATTAAGTTTCTCCAATCTTCTCAAAACTCTGGATTCTGATAGAGGGCCACGAGACTTTGACCTGAGTGCAAAAATGGAGGCTCTAGACCCTTCCAGAGCTGAGATATCGAAACTCAAAATTTCGACCCGAAAAAAAAAACGACAGTGTTACCCCTTTCGTTTTTTTCATTTTCGGGCGAAAAATTAAGTTTCTCCAATCTTCTCAAAACTCTGGATTATGATAGAGGCCACGAGACTTTGACCTGAGTGCAAAAATGGAGGCTCTAGACCCTTCCAGAGCTGAGATATCGAAACTCAAAATTTCGACCCGAAAAAAAAACGACAGTGTTACCCCTTTCGTTTTTTTCATTTTCGGGCGAAAAATTAAGTTTCTCCAATCTTCTCAAAACTCTGGATTATGATAGAGGGCTGTGAGACTTTGACCTGAGTGCAAAAATGGAGGCTCTAGACCCTTCCAGAGCTGAGATATCGAAATTCAAAATTTCGACCCGAAAAAAAAACGACAGTGTTACCCCTTCGTTTTTTTTCGTTTTTGGGCGAAAAATTAAGTTTCTCCAATCTTCTCAAAACTCTGGATTATGATAGAGGGCCACGAGACTTTGACCTGAGTGCAAAAATGGAGGCTCTAGACCCTTCCAGAGCTGAGATATCGAAATTCAAAATTTCGACCCGAAAAAAAAACGACAGTGTTACCCCTTTCGTTTTTTTCGTTTTTCGGGCGAAAAATTAAGTTTCTCCAATCTTCTCAAAACTCTGGATTATGATAGAGGGCCTGAGACTTTGACCTGAGTGCAAAAATGGAGGCTCTAGACCCTTCCAGAGCTGAGATATCGAAATTCAAAATTTCGACCCGAAAAAAAAAACGACAGTGTTACCCCTTTCGTTTTTTTTCATTTTCGGGCGAAAATTAAGTTTCTCCAATCTTCTCAAAACTCTGGATTATGATAGAGGGCTGTGAGACTTTGACCTGAGTGCAAAAATGGAGGCTCTAGACCCTTCCAGAGCTGAGATATCGAAATTCAAAATTTCGACCCGAAAAAAAAACGACAGTGTTACCCCTTTCGTTTTTTTTCGTTTTTGGGCGAAAAATTAAGTTTCTCCAATCTTCTCAAAACTCTGGATTATGATAGAGGGCCACGAGACTTTGACCTGAGTGCAAAAATGGAGGCTCTAGACCCTTCCAGAGCTGAGATATCGAAATTCAAAATTTCGACCCGAAAAAAAAACGACAGTGTTACCCCTTTTTTTTTTTCATTTTTCGGCCGAAAAATTAAGTTTCTCCAATCTTCTCAAAACTCTGGATTATGATAGAGGGCCACGAGACTTTGACCTGAGTGCAAAAATGGAGGCTCTAGACCCTTCCAGAGCTGAGATATCGAAACTCAAAATTTCGACCCGAAAAAAAACGACAGTGTTACCCCTTTCGTTTTTTTTCATTTTCGGGCGAAAAATTAAGTTTCTCCAATCTTCTCAAACTCTGGATTCTGATAGAGGGCCACGAGACTTTGACCTGAGTGCAAAAATGGAGGCTCTAGACCCTTCCAGAGCTGAGATATCGAAACTCAAAATTTCGACCCGAAAAAAAAAACGACAGTGTTACCCCTTTCGTTTTTTTCCATTTTCGGCGAAAAATTAAGTTTCTCCAATCTTCTCAAAACTCTGGATTATGATAGAGGGCTGTGAGACTTTGACCTGAGTGCAAAAATGGAGGCTCTAGACCCTTCCAGAGCTGAGATATCGAAATTCAAAATTTCGACCCGAAAAAAAAAACGACAGTGTTACCCCTTTCGTTTTTTTTCGTTTTCGGGCGAAAAATTAAGTTTCTCCAATCTTCTCAAAACTCTGGATTATGATAGAGGGCCACGAGACTTTGACCTGAGTGCAAAAATGGAGGCTCTAGACCCTTCCAGAGCTGAGATATCGAAATTCAAAATTTCGACCCGAAAAAAAAAAACGACAGTGTTACCCCTTTCTTTTTTTTTTCTTTTTCGGGCGAAAAATTAAGTTTCTCCAATCTTCTCAAAACTCTGGATTATGATAGAGGGCTGTGAGACTTTGACCTGAGTGCAAAAATGGAGGCTCTAGACCCTTCCAGAGCTGAGATATCGAAATTCAAAATTTCGACCCGAAAAAAAAAACGACAGTGTTACCCCTTTCGTTTTTTTCCATTTTGGGCGAAAAATTAAGTTTCTCCAATCTTCTCAAAACTCTGGATTATGATAGAGGGCCACGAGACTTTGACCTGAGTGCAAAAATGGAGGCTCTAGACCCTTCCAGAGCTGAGATATCGAAATTCAAAATTTCGACCCGAAAAAAAAACGACAGTGTTACCCCTTTTGTTTTTTTTTTTCATTTTCGGGCGAAAAATTAAGTTTCTCCAATCTTCTCAAAACTCTGGATTATGATAGAGGGCCACGAGACTTTGACCTGAGTGCAAAAATGGAGGCTCTAGACCCTTCCAGAGCTGAGATATCGAAATTCAAAATTTCGACCCGAAAAAAAAAACGACAGTGTTACCCCTTCGTTTTTTTTCATTTTCGGGCGAAAAATTAAGTTTCTCCAATCTTCTCAAAACTCTGGATTATGATAGAGGGCCACGAGACTTTGACCTGAGTGCAAAAATGGAGGCTCTAGACCCTTCCAGAGCTGAGATATCAAATTCAAAATTTCGACCCAAAAAAAAACGACAGTGTTACCCCTTTCGTTTTTTTCATTTTCGGGCGAAAAATTAAGTTTCTCCAATCTTCTCAAAACTCTGGATTATGATAGAGGGCTGTGAGACTTTGACCTGAGTGCAAAAATGGAGGCTCTAGACCCTTCCAGAGCTGAGATATCGAAATTCAAAATTTCGACCCGAAAAAAAAAACGACAGTGTTACCCCTTTCGTTTTTTTCCGTTTTTGGCGAAAAATTAAGTTTCTCCAATCTTCTCAAAACTCTGGATTATGATAGAGGGCTGTGAGACTTTGACCTGAGTGCAAAAATGGAGGCTCTAGACCCTTCCAGAGCTGAGATATCGAAATTCAAAATTTCGACCCGAAAAAAAAAACGACAGTGTTACCCCTTTCGTTTTTTTCCATTTTCGGGCGAAAAATTAAGTTTCTCCAATCTTCTCAAAACTCTGGATTATGATAGAGGGCTGTGAGACTTTGACCTGAGTGCAAAAATGGATGATCTAGACCCTTCCAGAGCTGAGATATCGAAATTCAAAATTTCGACCCGAAAAAAAAACGACAGTGTTACCCCTTTCGTTTTTTTCCGTTTTTGGGGCGAAAAATTAAGTTTCTCCAATCTTCTCAAAACTCTGGATTCTGATAGAGGGCCACGAGACTTTGACCTGAGTGCAAAAATGGAGGCTCTAGACCCTTCCAGAGCTGAGATATCGAAATTCAAAATTTCGACCCGAAAAAAAAACGACAGTGTTACCCCTTTTGTTTTTTTTCATTTTCGGGCGAAAAATTAAGTTTCTCCAATCTTCTCAAAACTCTGGATTCTGATAGAGGGCCACGAGACTTTGACCTGAGTGCAAAAATGGAGGCTCTAGACCCTTCCAGAGCTGAGATATCGAAACTCAAAATTTCAACCCGAAAAAAAAAACGACAGTGTTACCCCTTTCGTTTTTTTACATTTTCGGGCGAAAAATTAAGTTTCTCCAATCTTCTCAAAACTCTGGATTCTGATACAGGGCCACGAGACTTTGACCTGAGTGCAAAAATGGAGGCTCTAGACCCTTCCAGAGCTGAGATAATCAAACTCAAAATTTCAACCCGAAAAAAAACGACAGTGTTACCCCTTTCGTTTTTTTCCATTTTCGGGCGAAAAATTAAGTTTCTCCAATCTTCTCAAAACTCTGGATTATGATAGAGGGCTGTGAGACTTTGACCTGAGTGCAAAAATGGATGATCTAGACCCTTCCAGAGCTGAGATATCAAAATTCAAAATTTCGACCCGAAAAAAAAACGACAGTGTTACCCCTTTCGTTTTTTTTTCGTTTTCGGGCGAAAAATTACGTTTCTCCAATCTTCTCAAAACTCTGGATTCTGATAGAGGGCCACGAGACTTTGACCTGAGTGCAAAAATGGAGGCTCTAGACCAGTGTTTCCCAACCCTGTTCCTGGCGGCACACCAGCACCGCGTGTTTTCTTTGTCTCCCTAATCAAACACACCCGATTCAACCCATCAGCTAATTAACCCACCTGATTATGAGCTGATGGGTTGAAACAGGTGTGTTTGATAAGGGAGACAAAGAATACACGCAGTGTTGGTGTGCCGCCAGGAACAGGGTTGGGAAACACTGCTCTAGACCCTTCCAGAGCTGAGATATTGAGATCCCACGTAGCATTTATACCATTATAAATATCTCAATATCTCAGCTCTGGAAGGGTCTAGAGCCTCTATTTTTGCACTCAGGTCTAAGTCCCATGGCCCTCTATCAGAATCCAGCGTTTCAAGAAGATTGGACAAACTTATTTTTCCGCACAAAAAAAAAAAAAAAAAAAAACGACACTGTCTTTTTTTGTTTTTTTGGGGGGGGGGGGTGAAATTTTGAGTTTCTCTGATCTTCTTGAAACTCTGGATTTTGATAGAGGGCTATGGGACTTAGACCTGAGTGCAAAAATGCAGGCTCTAGACCCTTCCAGAGCTGAGATATTGGCTGCGTTCCAAACCGCATACTTCCCTACTATTTAGTATGGGAAAAAGAGTAGGCGAGCAAAAAAGTATGAATGAATCCAAAAGAGTAGGTGAGAATTACCTGGGTGACGTAGTAATTGTCGCAAGATTCGGACTTAAGTGCGTTCCAATATGCCTACCTTCCTACAATATAGTAGGCGAAAACAGTACATGAAGGAAGGCTTACTGCTTCCGCACAGATTTTTGAGTGCTGTCCGATGGGTACTCATGGTACTCATCTATCCCAGGAGGCCACGCGAGAGGATGCGTCAATATCAACATCTCGGAGATCAGCGACGCGGGGGTTTTCAAATGTGAGTAAACACGGTTCCATTGTCTTTAAATCGGATGTGTTAAACTATTTTAGAGTAAACGTTTTAACTGTTGAAGGTGGAAAGGAGTTAGACTTTATATTATAGTTGTGATTTTGCTGTAAACACATGTATGTATAGCTAACAGGGGTGCTCCAGTCACCGTAAAGTTACGTTTCCAAAGTGGATTTACATAACCATACATCTTAAACACGCTTATTTAAAATGTCTATTTACATCAGGAAAGAAAATATTGTATAAGTATTGCAGGTGAGCACATCCCAACATGAAAAATACATGTGTGTGCTATGTAGGATAATTCACTGTTGTCAACACTGCTTACATTAGACAAATATGTGTTGTAAATAAACACATCTATAAAGTAACTAAACATGATATATATTTAATTTGTCCCTTATTAGTGTTGATATATTGAGGAACATTTAAGCTGGATTAAGTGAGTTAACACATCAACCTCAGCATGTAAATTCAGCATGTAAATTCAGAGCCCGTAATGTGAATCTTGTCTGTATGTTACAGGGACAGAAGAACGCGCGTGTGTTTATCCGGTGGAGAGAGGCTCATGATGCTGAATGCTGTCATCAATGGCTCTGAGTGAGTATACTACAGAAATGGATAACAAAATCTATTAAATGTTAAGTTGTAGTTTATTTGAATGATTGTAATTTCAAACTGAGAAATTACAACACCACCTTTCTGAGTCTTGATTTCTGCATTTGCTGCAGAGCTTTTGTGGTTGGAGCAGGACCTGCAAGGAAAGATGATGGCAGCATTTGGAGGAAAAAAGGTTTCAGGGAGTTAACTCAAATATAAAGTAAGGCTATTTTTAATACATAAATCAAATGACATTGGGCTGTTAAAATGACTGCTTTTGTGTAATGTTTGTGCATTTTTGTAGGATCTGAAAAGTCTGCAGACTGGTGTGAGCACTGAGGATGAGGAGCCCAGAGCTGTATCCTGGAAGTGATGCCATGGATGAGTCCCTCCATCACTCCACTGCCTTTATGAGTCCCTCCATTGCTCCACCTGCCCTTATTGCCTCAGATTGTGAAGCGCTGCGCAGCAACAAGCTCCGGCACGAAGGCACAGTCCCCTCTGGTGAATTCATCAGAATAAAGCCGCAGAATGGGAACCGTGTTGAGTCGGCAGTAGGATGTGGTGTTCAGCGGCTGTAAATACATGCTTGTAGTTTCAATAAAGCTTTGTTTCATGTGTTGTTGACTTGTATAAGCATTTGTTTATTGTGATGGTTACTTTTATTTGTTCTTTTATTCATTTATTCATGTTTCTTATTAATGTCGGTATATAAAATTTAATTAATGTATGTATTAATTCATCGGTTGACTGACAATTGAGATGTTTCACTGCATTTAGCAATATAAATGAATTCATGCATAACTGTCATATGACAAAACAAATTACATTTTGCTTGTTTTGTTAAATTATATGTTTAGTATATAAAAAAGTTATGTAATTAAGTATTGGTCAGCATTTAATATTATTATTTTGTTTAAGTTTTGGGATGGGCTAACAATGCAATTCATTCTGAGGTAATATAAATTTTTAAGGAGTGATTACATTTTTTGAGTATAAAATCAACAGCTTTCTCCAAAAGAGATCTTCGAGCAGCTGCCGGTCTCCTTTGTGCAGACATTATAAACGCAGAGGAAAACTGTTCTAGTTGTGCTATCAAGTTACTGATGTTATGAAGTGTTAGTGCACCTGTCGCTCATATAATTTAAACTTATTACATGCAAGATCATGGAAAGATACTATAGTTTATGTAACAATCATAATGACAAAACAGAAAATGTAAAGATCATTGGTTTGTGTATCATAATATGACATCAAATTATATTTATACACAGGAAAAAAGAACAATAAAAAAGGCTAAATATCTTCATTATAGTTCTTCATAATACATAAAAAAAAAGTTGTTGTTATATGTCTGAGGGATGAAACGAGGTAAATTCCTGAAGAAAAAAAACTTAAAGGAGAAAGTTTTTGGGTATAAAATAAAGAAATTAACAACATAATCAAGAGATGATGATTTGGGGGTTTCATAATAATAATAAAAAATATATTGTTATAAGAATAACACTGTTGGTCACATTAGTAGGGTTTAAAATATAACAAGTTAAATCAACCCTAAATGTATTCACAAAATAAATGGGCAGCTGTTTCTTCAACTATACCACAACAAAATGAGCAAGTTTCATCAATATCAAGATATTTATAGATAGATGAATTAAACGTATCGTTCATATATTGTAAGGTGTTTTGCTTGTGAGTAGGTCACATGGTAACGTCAACATGGCAGATATCCAGTTCGCATTCATACTCAACGAGATTTGGCTATAAAGTACGTACTCTTTTAGCGCTCGATGAGTAAGTACTTATTGAAATTAAGTACCTACTCACTGAGTATGCGGTTTGGAACGCAGCCATGAGATACCACGTAGCATTCACGCCATTATAAATATCTCAATAGCTCAGCTCTGGAAGGGTCTAGAGCCTCCATTTTTGGGGTAACACTGTCGTTTTTTTTTTTTTTTTTTTTTGGTCGAAATTTTGAGTTTCTCTGATCTTCTTGAAACTCTGGATTCTGATAGAGGGCCATGGGACTTGGACCTGAGTGCAAAAATGGAAGCTCAAGACCCTTCCAGAGCGGAGATATTGAGATCCCATGTAGCATTTATGCCATTATAAATATCTCAATATCTCAGCTCTGGAACGACAGGGGTAACACTGTCGTTTTTGTTTTGTTTTTTGGGTCGAAATTTTGAGTTTCTCTGATCTTCTTGAAACTCTGGATTTTGATAGAGGGCCATGGGACTTAGACCTGAGTGCAAAAATGGAGGCTCTAGACCCTTCCAGAGCTGAGATATTGAGATCCCACATAGCATTTATGCCATTATAAATATATCAATATCTCAGCTCTGGAAGGGTCTAGAGCCTCCATTTTTGCACTCAGGTCTAAGTCCCATGGCCCTCTATCTGAATCCATAGTTTCAAGAAGATTGGAGAAACTTATTTTTTTGCACAAAAAAAAAAAAAAACGACAGGGGTAACACTGTCGTTTTTTTTTTTTTTTTTTTTTTTTTTTTTTTTTTTGGGTCGAAATTTTGAATTTCTCTGATCTTCTTGAAACTCTGTATTCTGATAGAGGGCAATGGGACTTGGACCTGAGTGCAAAAATGGAGGCTCTAGACTCTTCCAGAGCTGAGATATTGAGATCACACCTAGCATTTATGCCATTGTAAATATCTCAATATCTCAGCTCTGGAAGGGTCTAGAGCCTCCATTTTTGCACTCAGGTCTAAGTCCCATGGCCCTCTATCAGAATCCAGAGTTTCAGGAAGATTGAACAAACTTATTTTTTTCGCACAAAAAAAAAAACGAAAGGGGTACCACTGTCGTTTTTTTGGGGGGGTCGAAATTTTGAGTTTCTCTGATCTTCTTGATACTCTGGATTCTGATAGAGGGCCATAGGACTTAGACGTGTGTGCAAAAATGGAGGCTCTAGACCCTTCCAGAGCTGAGATATTGAGATCACACCTAGCATTTATGCCATTGTAAATATCTCAATATCTCAGCTCTGGAAGGGTCTAGAGCCTCCATTTTTGCACTCAGGTGTAAGTCCGATGGCCCTCTATCAGAATCCAGAGTTTCAAGAAGATCGGAGAAACTTTTTTTTTTCGCACCAAAAAAAACAAAAAAAAACGACAGGGGTAACACAGTCGTTTTTGTTTTTGTTTTTTGGGTCGAAATTTTGAGTTTCTCTGATCTTCTTGAAACTCTGGATTTTGATAGAGGGCCATGGGACTTAGACCTGAGTGCAAAAATGGAGGCTCTAGACCCTTCCAGAGCTGAGATATTGAGATCACACCTAGCATTTATGCCATTATAAATGTATCAATATCTCAGCTCTCGAAGGGTCTAGAGCCTCCATTTTTGCACTCAGGTCTAAGTCCCATGGCCCTCTATCAGAATCCATAGTTTCAAGAAGATTGGAGAAACTTATTTTTTTGCACAAAAAAAAAACGACAGGGGTATAACACTGTCGGTTTTTTTTTTTTTTTTTTTTTTTTTTTTTTGGGTCGAAATTTTGAATTTCTCTGAACTTCTTGAAACTCTGTATTCTGATAGAGGGCCATGGGACTTGGACCTGAGTGCAAAAATGGAGGCTCTAGAGTAGACCCTTCCAGAGCTGAGATATTGAGATCACACCTAGCATTTATGCCATTGTAAATATCTCAATATCTCAGCTCTGGAAGGGTCTAGAGCCTCTATTTTTGCACTGAGGTCTAAGCCTCATGGCCCTCTATCAGAATCCAGAGTTTCAAGAAGATTGGAGAAACTTATTTTTTTGCACAAAAAAAAAAACGACAGGGGTATAACACTGTCGGTTTTTTTTTTTTTTTTTTTTTTTTTTTTTTGGGTCGAAATTTTGAATTTCTCTGAACTTCTTGAAACTCTGTATTCTGATAGAGGGCCATGGGACTTGGACCTGAGTGCAAAAATGGAGGCTCTAGAGTAGACCCTTCCAGAGCTGAGATATTGAGATCACACCTAGCATTTATGCCATTGTAAATATCTCAATATCTCAGCTCTGGAAGGGTCTAGAGCCTCCATTTTTGCACTTAGGTCTAAGTTTCATGGCCCTCTATCATAATCCAGAGTTTCAAGAAGATTGGACGTATCATCCCACGTAGCATTTGTGCCATTATAAATATCTCAATATCTCAGCTCTGGAAGGGTCTAGAGCCTCAATTTTTGCACTGAGGTCTAAGCCTCATGGCCCTCTATCAGAATCCAGAGTTTCAAGAAGATTGGAGAAACTTATTTTTTCGCACCAAAAAAAACCGACAGGGGTACCACTGTCCAGATTTAGTTTCCATCTGTTGTCCCTGACCATTACCCATGGACCATTATTCGAATCTAAAGCGTTACCCCATTTTTTACGTAACCACTGTGTTTATGAGTGTCATTGAATAATTCACTCTGCCGATTTATTCGAGACAAGTGGAACATTTATTAAATTTATGTACGTTGTAAAATAAATGTCCGTTGCTTAATATTATGTTGTTTGTTGAACTGTTTTGTTGTAGCAATACGAGTAATATCACACTCAGCAACATTCAGTGTTGATTGTTATTGAAAATGTCTGAAATTGATAAATGATGAGTTACATTAATTATCCCACCCCTTTCTCCTAGTTTCCATATAGAACATTTATGTACATTACATTTTTACCCCCTTTATTTCACTAGTTTCTTGTATCTATTCAGCCCTTTGTGCTGCCATTTTTAAGGAGACAAAAGAACTCTCGGTTCAAACCCCACTGAAGTACTTAATACAAGCGTCATGACTAATGCTAAAAATCTCATATTTCTTACTGTCTCTCAGCTCTTCTCTTCGCTTCTTCCTCCCACCAGGTGCTTCCTTTTAAGAGCAGCTTTGAGAGGAAGTCTTTACAGGATTAGTGTTTTCTGTTCGGACAGCCCGACACTTGCTGAGCAGTTTCCTGAATCTCTGTTTTGAGAATGTTCTAGAAAATGAACAGTGCTGACTACAGGATTACACTGAGACCTGTTCCAGCTAGGAGGAAGCGCACAGGTAGGCCATTCATGAGCACCACTGCACTGACAGTGTAAATGTCACTGGAAAACAGGTGCATTATTTTTAGCAGCATTAATATTTCAAAAAGGTTTCAAAAGAAGTAAAACAAAAGGTTTGTCAAGCACACAGCTGTGCTTTATATCTTTATAAATGATTTAATTCTTAAGCCGCTCCTTCAATGACAATGGGAAACTTTGATCTCTGCTGCAATGACATTAAAAGTGACTGCCTAATGCACATATTTACAACAGGAATTACACTTATGAAGAGATTTAATGCAAATGAAGCTATAGAAAGGGAATAGTACTCCCTTTTTCGAGTGAAATGACTCGTATAGCAATTATTTTTATTTTAACTTCAAGGTCAAACTGTTCCGAACATCTGAACTGTCATTGTATAACATAAGTTATACATCACTCAGTTCTTCCCTCATTTCGCAGAAACATATGGCTCAATTTTCAAAAGATGAATGACAAAACAACCTCCTTTTATCATAAACTCGCATGTCTTCTAATATCTGAGTTTTTAAAAAGAAGGCCATGGCAACTCATTTTAACAGGCCATTTTGAAAGGTCATACGAGCAATATATTAGCCACATTTATAATGCTGACAAGTTTCATTCACACAATTGTGTCTCCAATACAAATACGCCATGTTCTGAATAACTGCATGAAAAATATAATTCACATGAGGCCATCCAGACATGTTTTTTTCTTTCTGTCGAACGCTTTATTTCAGAGAATGATTGCAGATTGTAATTTTTTTATTTGAAAGAACATTCATGTGGATTTATATATGATTTATGGCATCATTAACTGCTACAAATATTTAAGTTTCTTTACTGAAGGCAGCAGTCAGTGTCCTTCATACTCGTATATGTCTTGAATTCCATAGCAAATAAAACAGATTTCAACAGACAAAATTTGTTTCATTCACATTCAGAGCAGATGCCAGATTATTTTAAGCATACATTTTTTATTTTTTTTTGCAATACACTGACATGAAACAACAACACATTCTCACCCCAAGGCTTCACCTTTGACCATGCTTCAATATTTGACGTTTTAGGCGCCCTTTAGCGTCACTTACATGACGCTACTTACATGACGCTATCCTACGGCGTCATCTAACTGACGCTAAAGGAAAGCGTCAGTTAGAGGACGCAGTTAGGTTTAGGTATGGGGTGGGGGTGGGGGTAGGGTACACGCGATCCTAGGGCGTCATCTAAAGGGCAACAAAGTGAATACTGAGTAAATAAGTTGGCAGAATAGAATGCAATTTTAGTAAAAGAGAGTACATGAAAGCTGAAAATTTTGAAAATGCATAATCTACCAGCCACACATTGATCAAGCAAGGAGCCAAATATTATCAAGTGATGGAAGAACAATACTCTAAAGTACTCTATATGTTTGATTAGAAGAACATCCTTTGTCTTAATAATTTTAAAAAGATACAGGAAGCATTTTCTCCACCTTATGACATTGATTTCATGACCACTTAGTGCCGCCATACATGATTATGGTATTAAACATGCCCTACCCTCTCATGGCTTTCCCATTTTAAACAATCCCTCCTAAATTCCAGTCCCCTGTAAAAGCAGCCTCAATTAATTATACAGTCTTAGTTGGCCTGAGTAAAGATGAAAACATGAATTATTCATGTGTAATTTCTTGAAACACTGTGTGTGTGTGTGTGAGTGTGGGTACATTTTGAAGGCCAACTCAGCGTAAGACCAACTCCGTCATCTATCAAGGCTTCATTCAGTCTCATTCTGTAACCTCGCTTTGTTCCCCTTTCATCTTCATCCTCTTCCATGACATTTTTCAGCTTTGCCCTTTTCAGTTTCTCCATTTTTCAAAGTTTTCCTTGTCATCATTACTGTTACCTCTCTGTTCATCCTTTAGCATTAAACTATTTCTGTAACCTTTTGTTTTATTAGATACATTGTGATTAAAAGTAAATTAGGCCATTCCAAGGCCAGCCTGAATACAGTTACAGTACAGAAAATGCTCTTATGGTCTTTGCTGTGATTAATAGAATTGTTTACCTAAAAAGGAAAATTCTGACATTATTTGTTTCAAACATCTGTCATTTTCTCTTTGGAATAAAAAAGGTGAAATAAAATCATAATAAAAAAGACGCCATAAAATTTGTCCAATTCAATAACAATACAACAAAACACAAAACTTATTTTTAGGTCCAGAAATACCAATATAGTTGGACTGAGTTGTCCGTGGATGAATAGTCCAGAGAGTTCACAGTCCTTGGGGAAAAAATATACCTTAGGGAGTTTAGATGACAAAAGATGAAAACAACTCACCCTGACTGTATCTGTATGAATGAATATGAGTCAAAAACAAACATCCTTCCAGTGGTGAATGATGAACTGCAGTATCAAAGCCTTTGGCTGTAAGAAGTGTTGTTGTCTAAAAAATGCCTCATCTGATGACGTTCACTTCATCTGCGGAAACAAGAGCTTCACAGTGATTAAAGTGTCATAGAAACAGTAACTTGCATTAGCATTGCTTTCTCTTGCCGGGCTTCCCCTTGGATGTTGTTTGTCATTTATTTATTTGTTTGTTTTTTAAAAAATATATTGCGTTTAGGCATCTCGTTTGCATATTCTCCCTGAACGTGTGCCACATTGCTCAAAGCAATGTGTTGTGAAAATGTATCAAATTTTAATATTCTTGACACCAAGGGGTGCGTGCATTACGAGAGTAAAGATATGGCAACGGATTCCTGATGAATACATTTCCACATTTCTATTTTTTTTTAAATAGAACACTGTGCCCTACATATTTCAGATATATTAGAAATTAAAAAAAAACACTCATGTAAGCATATTCATTGTAAAAATAATACATTGCAAAATTACTACTTTTGCACAAGTCTTTGTGAAATATAAATGCAAGAAACCTGAAAATATTTGAAAATTGAAAAAAATCAAGTATAATCTGAAAATAATAACATTATGTTTTTAATAATACGTTGTTTTAAGGATATTTTGATATTTCTACTGAAAAACAAAACCATTGATTATGAAAATGATTTCCTCAACTTTCCCCTCTCAAATACACACCTCATATTGCTTTTGTCCATCTCCAAGCTGTCGACTCAAAGAAGACTTCATTTTCTTCACTGTCATCAAATTCATCTTCCACTCCTTGTCCCTGCATCTTCAGTCTGGTGTTTGCTCTGCCTTCCTCCTCCTCCTCCTCCACCAGCACCTGCATGTCCATGTCATCACACCCCCTGTTTGCTGCAATCATCTCCTTTATCTTTTCCAGCAGCTCTCTGACCTGGTGGCTCTCACCCCTGGCCTTATTATTAAAAACATGATACCTGTTTCCACATCTGTCAACCAGCCACTGCAGGGCTGTCCCTTCACATTCAATGTGCTGCTCAATGGCTCTGTCTCCAAGCAGGTCTCCAAAAGTGAACAGAACTATACTGTGATCCCAAAACGTGGAGCCCAAAAGCCTCAAATGGTCCTCCATCGCCTTCCGCTCCTGCTCTTTAAAGGAACAGTCGATGCGAACAACCAAAATCAAAGCTACCGGACCAGAAGGGGATAGAGATACACTCTGTGTGATTTCATCTTTATTCAGTTCAGGAGTTTGTTCTATGGGCAGATGTTTCCACCAGCCAGGGGTGTCTATGATGTTGACCTGCTGTCCTCCAACCTCTCCATGTCTCTGAACACACCGGGCTGTTCTTCTTGATCCAAACACCTGCTGGCCGAGGATAGTGTTCCCCGTTGAACTCTTGCCAGATTCTCCATAACCCAGAAGCACAAGACACAATTCTGAGAAATTCTTTCCAATATCTAGAAAAAGACATGGAAATCAACTGATTATGAATTGATCTTCAATAAAAGCAATAAAATGGTTGGTTGATGTTTTGATGTTTGACCATTCGTGGCTATTGTCTTGCTCTAGGAGACATTGAGCGGTGGTACTCATGTGAGTGATATGGGTTTGAACTCGGCCTACAACATTTACCAATCCAATTCCTCATCTTGTTTCCTTATAATTTCCTGTCACTTGACTTTGTCTGTCCAATACAAGATTAAAAAAAACAATAAAGTAAAAAATAATAATTCAAGGGTTTTATCTGAATTTTGTTTTGATAACAAATATTTGCTTGAGGAATATGATTGTAATGTCAAGTGTTTTTTTTGTAAACACAGAGATTTGGCTTACTTATAACTTAAAAGTACTATATACTATATACAGACTGAACTTTAAAAGCTCTGCAGAATAAATAATGCATCTGGAACGACACAGCGCTTCTTTGATCCACACTGAACAGCAGACACGGTGACGCCAAAAACATTCTCATCACAATTAAACATGGTTTTTCAAAGAGATACAGAGACCATAAAAAAGCCACAAAAGAATAAACTCAATTTGCAATTTGAACTCTGTAAACCTCCTCCACCACCACCACCACAATATGTTATGTACTGAAATAATTTCAACCTGAGTAGCTCTTATCTTCCTCTGAATCCTTCCTTTTGTCTTTTTCCTTTTTCAGATGTATTTTGCAGTCAGTTGTGCAGAAAGATGCACGTGCTAGATGTACCTAAAGGTGTGTGTAGTTTTGCAAATGCAGTGGAAACATCAACAATTACTTGTGTTTATGCAATAAAACTGTTTATAGTCGTTTAATTTTTTCCCCTTTCATTTGACTTTTCTCCCTTATCTTTTTTTGTTTGTATTGTGCAGGACTTTAGGTCCATTGCTGTTGCTTTTAAATGTACTGTTCTATAAAGTTTGAACTTTGACTTACCAAAAGCTCAAAAGTATCCCCTAATTGAAAGTATTCCCTTTATAAAATTAAAAAAGTATGACTGCAAACAAATTTAGATTTCATTCAAATTTCAAAATGGATTTTATTTTATTCAAAGATTTTATTTTTTATTCGTAAACAATCAAAATGTAATGATTACTGTAACTGCAATTTTCCCTCACAAAAAAAAATGTTCCCTTTCTTTTGCGTTCAATCGCAAGGATATTTGCGTTAAAGTTTTGAGAGGGAACGCAAAGTTTCTCGTTTCTTTTTTTTTTTCTTTTTTTTTACAGAAGATAAGGAACTCCCGCACACTATCATTACTTGCACTTTTCAATCAAGTTTATTCACACACAACGTTTCGGTCACAAGACCTTCGTCAGGAGTATGTTTTTTTTTTTTTTTAAATCTCCCGTCCCATATATTGCATTTTTAAGTTCACTGATCTGTTCTAAAAATACGTTCAAAAATGTGATGAAGTCACATAGCAGAATGCTAGCGTGTTCCGACCAACAATGACCTAACCTGTAAGAAATCGAAAGGACATAAGTACTCGTTCATTCGACTTTTGGTCTATAATCTATATTGAAATTGCGGAATCAACAATAAAATCTACGTTGATTCAACGACAAACAGCGGAAAGGGATACATTTAGCCATATAGCTCCATAGACTCCCATTCATTCTGCACTCGCCCAACATGATATACAACGGGGCTAATAGGAAGTGCCAAGACTCTCCATAGACGGACTCTGACTAAACCTGTAAACACACATAAGATGCGAAAACGAAACCATCGAGCAAAATACCAGAGCGCACATGGCTGTGAATGACTTTTGCAAATCAAAAGTGAATCTACGCATCCACAGTACAATTACTCTTAACTAATATTTGACAGTAGAGAAAAACAGGAAAAAAATTGCAGCCAACTGTCAAAGTTGTTAAACACAGCTCTTTGTTCATCTCGAGTCTGTCGGAAATGCTGAAACTTTATTGCAAGATTACAGCATGACATGGAAATATTTAAGAACTGGAAAAGAAAGGAGACACTGACCTGTCAAAAGGGTGCTAGTTCGAGCTCAACAGATAAAAAAAGACCAAGATACTCCCTCTCCCTCATATGCTGGGAATATTCGCCACAACAGAGCGAATTGCATCCTGTGTCTCCATATCCGTGGTCGTTTTCGATTTCCCTAATCTTAAATTCGGCGCTTAGCATCTACGTCATGGTTCTCAGCCTGCCCTCTGTTCGTCGATTGGGCCGGCTGTTTTCAGGCCGGAGGAAAACGAAGAGACATGTCGCTGTCTCAGACTGAGTGCAGAAGCGAGATTAAATAGAGCGGAAGTACGACGTCTGACTATATTTGTTGATGATGTATGAGCTATATTGTCTCATTGGATATTGTGTTTGAAATGTCACATTACGGAAGTAAAATGGTTTGAGAACTTCATGTTGACTTTAACAGCATGCATTCAAAAGTGCAAAACCAGTATCTTACCCTTCATTGCAGTCTTCATCTTCCTCATCCGTCTTTGTTTCTTTGCTCGTGCTTTTGCTTTGTTTTCTGCTGCTTTCCATTTCTGCTTCACTTCCTTTAGAGTTTTGGGGTCAATTTCAAAATAATGGCCCCTATTTTGTGCCACCATCTTTTCTATCTTCTCCAGCAGGTTTGTGACCTGACTGCCATCATCCCAATTCTCATTGTTGAGGACATGATATCTGTTCCCACATTTCTCAATTAGCCATTGTAGAGCCTCCCCTTCGCTCTCAATGAACTCCTCTACAGTCACGTCACCCAGACAATCTCCATGGGTGAATAGCACTACGGTATGAGCCCACACTCTCTCTCCAAGAAGCTCCATGTGCTCCACCACTGACTCCTTCTCTTCCGGTGTGAATGACATGTCTACACGTAGGGTCAGCAGAAGCACGTGTGGTCCTGGTGGACATAAAGACACACTGAATAAAAGTTCATCTTTATCCAGTTCAGGAGTATCAATCACAGGGAGAGACTTCCACCATCCCGGGGTGTCCACTACAGTCACATTTCTCCCGTTCACATTGCCTTGTCTTCTCACACAAGTGGTGGTTCTCTTAGAGATGAACGATGCCATAGTCAAAATGGTGTTCCCAGCAGAACTCTTCCCAGCTCTTCGGAAACCTAACACTATCATCCTCATCTTAGAAATGTGGACGTGCTTGTGACCTGGTTAAAAAACAAGATAAATTAACCACAAATAGCAACATTTTCTGTGTAAACTGAGATTAAACGGGATAGTTCACCCAAAAATTACAATTCTGTTAGTCTCATCCCAAGACGTCATATAACTGACGTCTTTTGACCATACGTCAACATCAACAAGATGATGTGTTTTTGTCATTTTTTAGTTTGACAGGCCCAGGTCTCATTCACTTTCATTACATGGGGGAAAAACAACCAGGATACTAAAATTTAAGGATTAAGGATTTAAAGTTGATCCTTTTGTGTTGCATGGTGGGGAAAAAAAGCACACAGATTTGGCTCAACATGAGGATGAGTAATTGTCCCGTTAAAAATGGTTCGGATTCATGAAACATTTTTAAGAATAAGTTTCTGTTTAACTGCGTATTTTCTAACTTAAAAAGAAAAGTTAAGAATATTTTCTATTGGAAAAAATTCTTAAGAATGTTCTTAAGACAAAACTTTATGTTCTTAAGAAAAATTTGAGAATTTCTGTCATTATTTACTAGTATTAGATTACATTTACATGTAATGTAAACATTACTTTTTAGTCACATGGACTATTTTAACAATGTCTTTACTACATTTCTGTGCCTTGAAAGTTGCAACGTTAAAAGTTAGAACGTTGCTGTCTATGGAGGGATCAGAAAGCTCTCGGATTTCATCAAAAATATGTCTCGATTCGTTTTTAGAAAGATGAACTTATGGGTCTTACGGGTTTGGATCGACATGAGGGCGATTAATTAAAGACAGAAATTTCATTTTTGGGAGAACTAACCCTGAATGTTAACACCAAACGCTTTAACTTTCTTTTCGGGAATCTAGCCCCTGGTCCTTACCCTGCCGTGCAAGCGGAGTCCCCCATTGTTCTTGTACCATCTTCCTCCTCTGGTTTGCGCTCATGTATCTCTTCATGATCATTCCTTCTACCTCATGCAACCTGTCCATTTCAAAAAGACAGTTGCCGTTTCCCATGACCATCGCGTCTATTTTCTCAAGAAGCCCTGTAAGCTGCGTGCCAGTAGCTCTCTCAGTGTTAAGAACATGATATCTGTGTCCACATTTCTCCACTAGCCAAAGCAGAAGAGACTCCCCTTCACTTCCAATGTGCTTTCCTAGAGCTTGTTCCTGTAGCTGGTCTCTATACGTGAACACAACTATAGTGTGATTCCAGACTCTCTCGCTCAGAAGCTCCAGGTGTTCCTGCGCCGACCTCCTGTGTTTTTCTTTGAATAAAGCGTCGACACGTATGACCAGCAGGACCGCATGGGGCCCAGGAGGACAATGAGCCACGCTAAGCATAATCTCTTGTTTCTGAAATTCAGGGGTTTCTTTTACAGGGTAGTTCTTCCACCAGCCTGGCGTATCAACTAGAATGACCTGCCTTCCGGCAAAATCTCCATGCATCTTCACACACTGGGCCGTTCTCCTTGGATGAGGCTCTGCATGACCTGTTATTAGGTTTGCCAAAGAGGTTTTCCCTGCTGATCTGTTTCCCAATAGCACAATCCTCAAATCAAAGAGAAACTGGACTCCTGCCAATAAGAGACAATACCTTGTTAATATCAAAAACATGATTTCTCATTCCCTGCTGTCTATGGATAGAGATCGATTATACTTAGATGTGAATGTTTCTTAAATATGAAATCAGAAAAGGAGCAATAATTACCAAAGGAACTTACCAAAGTCACTTGCTTCGGGTGTAGCCATTGCTGCACTTTCTTATTCATTACCCTCCCTAAAATATTTAGAAATAATGTCACTTTTGGTTTGAATTAGTTACCGCACCATTTAAATGATACAAGAAGGTTAATAAAATGACTTCTGTCTTCAACTTTTTATTAATGTGTTTTTGTGGCACCAAGATCAAGCTAATGGATTACGCTTTTAAAATGACAAGATTACCACCCCATACATTTACAGCGCTTTTCAACAAGCTTTTAGAAGCCATTAGCTATCTGTGAAAAAAATGAGTAAGTGAGGTGAAAGGAAAAAGGGTTTTACCTTTGTTCTCATCACAGCAGAAGAGCTGACAGTGAAATGAAGAATATTATTCTTGTGTCCACAACAAATATGAACAAAACTGGTTAGTCTGGCTGAACAAGTGACTAAAGACTTTTATAGATTCTTATCAGAAGGGGCTGTCACCATCGCATTGAACAATTTAGGTCTTTCGATTAAAAGGGCCATTGTACATATCCATCCTGCCTATTGTACTGCATTTGTGATCATAATGGCCGGAGCATGTATGAGTGAAATATTTGGATTAGTTGATTAGTGACAAGGAAATAGAGTAGGAATTAAAATCATTTATTTCAGTGTGTATTTTTGTTTTTCATTTTGAGCCCTAGATTTTCAATTAAATATGAAATTGAAATGTCGAGCGTTACCACATGGAAAACCTGGAGTTAAAAATGTTTTGTGAAAGGATTTTGAAAACATTTGAAATTATTTTAAAGAAACATTAATACAATGAATATATATTCACATATTTGCACATGTATTATGCTCCTTTAGATGGATTATACTGTACATATCCATCCTGGCCATTTTAATGAATTTGTGATGGATGAATGAATCGCTAATTTTTTTTTCAAAACAGAATCGCTACTTTTTCCAAAAATAATCGCTACTTTTTTTTTAAAGAATTGCTACTTTTTTCAAAAAGAACTATGTAACAAAATAACATAATAATGAAACAAATGTATAATAATAATAATGTAGCATATGTATAAATAAATGTATAATTACATTGTTATACATGTATAATAAACACTGTAATAAATGTGTAAAAATTCACAGGGTTCAAATCTGGACCAGTGGCCAGATTGGATCAGTGGCCACTTGGTTGTCTTTCCAATTTTCCATGTTCTGCCAAAAACTTCATTGTTTTTCTGAGATGACAATTTGCATTTGCTTAAATTGTGCTAATTTCCTGACCAATAATTTGTGGTTAAGAGAAAGCTTAGTGTTTCGTCACTTCACCATTTTGGGTTTGGCTTTTTTTTTTTTTTTTTTTATAAAATGCTTTAAAAAAATGCAGTTTACACCATGAAACAAATGTTGAAACAAATGAAATATTGCATGGAATATCTGCACACTTACATGTGCCAGTACTCAAACAAGTGTCTTCAAATGAAAAAGGAGTTTTACACTCTTCCTTGACATAGATCACAAAAGATGAATAGATATGTTAGACAGAAAAGAGAATAGGAGAAATGAGCAGAGGTTGTGCGAGGGATGACTCATGGACAGTGTCAGAGAGTGCTTGTCTTGTTTTGATGTACAATACCGACGCCTGAGATCAGTCAGGGACAGATATGGCCGTATCAGATTTCACAGAACAAGAGGGCCAATGCAGAAATTGCTCATAACCTTGAAAAGACAGACCTTGAGAGAGAAAGTGAGAATTATAGTGCAAAGGAACCGTATAGTGCATCCCTTGACAGCACCCTGGATAAAAAGGTTTTAAAATGGTGCAAAAATGAGAAAGTTCGTGCAGACAACACTATTCTTTTGCAGACTCGGCCCGACCACTTTTTATGTGAATATAAGATTTGCATGAGTTTTATCAAAATTTCCTATCAAATTAGAGATGATAAATATGGTCTCAGAGGTCCCCTTCAGTCTATAAATCTAATTAGCACTTCTGCACCCTCAGCCACACAGGACAGACGTTTAGTTTGAAACAGAAGATCTGAGCCTTTGTTTTGCAGTCAGTACAAGCCATTAAAGTTGCATTTAGCTCGTACATCATTATCACTGTTATCTGCATCTCTCAGTGGAGGATTACTCCTAGTAAAACATGAAAAGTGAAGGTTAAGAACACAATAACAGAGATTAGAATCGTTCCTTATCTCTGAGGAACTTGCCGGCTTAAACAGAGCTAACTTGCTGCTTATATGCCTGTGTATCAGGTAATTGGAAAGTTCTGCTCGGCTGGAACCTGCGCCGCCTCCAGTGATGTTGGTCACACTCTTTCCTCTCTTGTTCTGTAAGGAATAAAGCCTCTGTGGGTGCGCAGCCTGAGCCCCGATAAGGAGAATGTTAGGAGGGCTAGTGATGGTACTCGGATTATACTTCCACAATCCCTCCATCTATATTCATCTGAGGACAAACTGCCTAGAAAACTTCTCCAAAGCCGTAGCATCTTTTTTTGTTCAAGTTCTTAGGATTGGAATATGCCAAAGGCTAATCAGTGCCAGGATCTCTTTGCTGTGAGATTATTTTCCCACAGAGATGAATGTAAATTATTCAAAGAGATGAGGCAGATTTTCTGGGAGGGAGACTGGCTGACATGCACTTTAAATGCAGCTGTTTTTAATCTGAATCCACTTAATCAGTTACTTTAGTTTGAAGAGGTTTTGGCGTGCCGTAAGTTTATCTAAATTCACTTCTTAGAGTGATTTTCCAGCCACCGTTGCCATCGGCTTGCTGAATTGAACTAAAGAAGAGCTGATTTAAATTAACCATCAACTTCCAGATAGAAACAAAAGCCTGTTCTCTTGAAAACAAAAGCAGTTTTTTGTAAAAAAAAAAAAAAAAAAAAAAAAAACTTAAAAAAAAAATAAGCAACAGCAACATAATCATTTGATTGTGGATACTGAAGAGTGAAAATCTGTTTGCAACAAAACAAAGAATGTCTCTCGACGGTGTTTGCTTAACAAGAGTACCTTCATTAATTCGATTTTTGCTCCCTCCCTTCAATCCCTTTCTCATGCCTTGCTGTTTTGATAGAGCGCTTCTGTAATTAAAAAATAATTATAACATCTGCTGCTTCAACTTAAAATAGAAGATATCACTAAGAATAAAATATTTAAGGTCCATACAGTAACATCTTATCTACAGAGGCCCCATATCTCTTAGCAAAAACATTAATTACCTATACAGTGTATAATTGAGTTCTATAGAGAAGCCTTAAGAAGAACTTTTGGGCTTTAATGCAGTTCTGCTTTTAACGAATGAGCTGCACGTTCCAGATAAAAACTGTAATTATAGCATATTAGGCTGTGCAGTCAGTACACCCTATAGTACGCCATAACAGAGTTCCTGACATATAACCAAAAATATCTCCTATTCCAGCTGAGCTCTCATTAGTCACTGGAGTTGTTATTAATGTGCTTCAGCCTTTCTACTCAATCCTCCATATAACCCGCGGCTGTAGAGTTATGGTGACGAGTAACAGGGAAAACTACACATGCACTTTCCATGAATATGATACAAAATAAATCAATTATTTTTCTTAACAAATGGTGCTTAAAGGAATAGTTCACCTAAAAAAAATCTAACTTAAATAAATGGAATATAAAAAAAGATATTTTGAGATGCATGTCATAAATTTCCCATACAATATAATATATATTTCCCTTAAACTGACTTGTCTGAATCAACTAAACTAACTACTTTTCATGGTAAATTTGATGTGAAATAATACATTACCAGACATATCTAACAGGTCAGAGAATAAATACATGGGTTTTGTGCCTCTATATGAACGATTTTAATAGTTGTCCTCCCATTGCTACTTTCACTTTACAGCCCTATTTCATAATGCAATTTAACATGTTCTCAATGTTCTTTCCTCACACTGCTCTCTCTGGTGGAAAGCGCTTTTCCATCTTAAGTGCCTTTCCATTATTCTAAAAGCCCAAGTGTAAAATCGACCCGTGGATGAATGAGGGGACGAGTCAACAAAACAAGAGAACTCAGGGGAACATATCACCCATAAGGCATGGAATGCCTCTAAAAGAATACAATTCACAATTCACAGGAAAGCTGCTGTAAAGTGAGAATTAATTTGTTCAGTGATGACAATCGAATATACACGACAGCTGGTTTTGTCGGATTCAAGTATGAACCACTTTCATTGCACATAGTGTCATGGTCCAAAAGTGATGTTTCATATGGCAATTTAAGCGTTGTATTGCCAAATCCAAAGGGTAAATGGAGCCTTTATAATCGAAACCATGACCAGCACAAGGCTTGATCTTGACCCTCAATTAGACTCTTCGCTCTAAATGTATCTTGGAGACTGACCTGATACTGTAAGTGCGGTAACTTCAGCTGTGACTTAGCTCTATTCAGGTGACCAATTCATTATCGATCTTTCCATTTAGGTGTTGTTGTCTGGTGAAGCTTCCCATCATGGCCTTCACTGTGTAGAATATAAAAAGGAGGTTTAATCCCTTTTGCAGCCCCCACAATTATTTGTCTTTCAGGAATTATTTAACATGCCACTAATTTAGCAGTACACATATATCTCAACCTTGACGGGCTTAATGTTTTTTTTAATCATATAATCATTCTGCTTTCTGTCATTTCCCTTCCCTACATAAATTATTAATACACCCACATGCTCTGTCTGTGTAAAATGTCCTTCAAAGGACATGTGGTGTTAACTAATTGAGGTATTCAAAAACTCAGTGGGCTTAAAGACCATAAAGTAAATGCAGCATAAACATTCTATCACATCAATCACATAAAATACACTTTTCAAAAGAATACTGTTTTTTATTAAAAATAACTTTAACAAGGATGCATTAAATTGATCAAAGGTAACAGTAAATCCTTTCAAATATATTTGTTTTAATATTCCATTCATAAAACTGTTTTCACAAAAATATGCAGCACAACTGCTTTCCTCATTGATAATAATAAGAAACGAGCAGCAAATCAGCATGACTTCTGAAGGATCATGTGACATTTAAGACTGGAATAATGCTTTCTGAAATTTGATTTAACTACATTTTAAAATACATAATTTGGAATAATATTTTCACAACATTATTTTCACTGTATTTTTCATCAAATAAATGCATCCTTGATAGAAAAATGAGACATTTTTAAACATGAAGAAACGCACAAACTCATAATGACCCGAACGTTTTCAAAGGTGCTGTATGTATAAGATGGTTTATACTCATTTTTATGGGCATAATCAAGTTACATAAAAAAAGTCAAATTATAATTTCATCCAAGCTCACCATTTTCGAGAAGCTAAAAGTTCACACGCTTAATTAAAACTTGAGAATCTCCATTAAAGCTATGAACTGGCAGGCCTCGTGTGATCGGATTATGAGATTTGCTTAGAATTCACTACATGAAACCAGATGTCTCATTTGAACTCAGGAGGCTTGTTGTAGCATCTCTGAAATATTTGATGTGGAAAAAGTGTGGTAGTTCATAAGAACGGTTCTCTGTACAGGCTGGACAACAGACAGGGAGCATCGGAAAAGACAAAAACAAACAAACATCAAGGCTCATTATAATAATGTATTGTTATTGTGGCATTATCACACCACATTTCTGGGCTCTGCATCAAGATAAACAAACTATTTTCCATTACCAAAATGATCCTTAGGTTTATCATTAGGTGAAGGACATTAACAAACACTCAAGTGTGTTGAGAGATGAAATGTCTTCTAGAGGGTTCATTGCGCAGATTCTGCACTGGCTGATTACATTCTCACAAGACTTCAAAAAATAATGAAATCAGAATGAGACAACAATGATTTTACACTGTTATCATCATCATCATCATTTCAAGGAAACATAAGCATCTATATGGGCATTTAGCTGTTTGTTTTTAAAAAACTTTAGTCCATTAAGACATTTCTCATTCCATATAACTACAAAACAAAACAAGATGAAATAAATGGAATTAGAAATGCCTTTGTTTCTATTTTGACACTTTTTAACAATTTGTAAGTCTTCTAAAACAGTAGAAATAAATGAACTAAGAAACACAAACTTGATCAATGACCAGATCAATGTGACATGTCCTGATCGTTCGCAGTCTCAGCATGCAAAACAAAAAACAAAAAACAAGGCAAACAGAAAATACACCCAGCTTCAGTCAGAACATCCTTGAACTCGAAAAGAAAGGAAGAAAAGGTGGAAAGAAATAAGGAGGGATAGAGAGGGTAGAGGAAACTGTGTGAAGGTGCAGCCATCTGCTTTTAGTTTTAATAGTCTGACTGGATGAGGCCAATTAGAATAAACAAGAGTGAAAAGAGCCCAGTCAGTGATCCATGGCATCTTCTTCTTCATCGCTGCTCTGAATAAAATCATCCTCAATGTCCTCTAGAGAAGGTCCAGCTTCGTCATCATCATCATCATCATCATCACCTCCACCCAGCTCTGCTAGCAGCTGCTCCGTATGCTCAAACATGGGTGCGTCCTCACAGCGCAGCTTCACATAAAGCTACAGATTCGAGAGAGAAAGAGAGAAAAACCATCTTATCAGAGGAATAGTGGCAGTGTTTGTTCACAGAGAAAAGAGAAATCTCAGCTTTGACTCCAGGCTTGGCATGTTTTTGCAGTGTGAACTAAATCAAAACTCTCCTCTGTGCCTCTCCTATATATTCCTCTTTTCTTTATCTTTCAAGGAGTCTCTCTCTCTCTCTCCCTCCATCTTTTTTCAAGAAGGTCCAGTGCCAGCGAAGTCAGCTGACAAATCCCAAATTAGTGACTCCTTTCCAAGCTTACACGAAGCAAGCTCTGCATCAGTGGGAAATTGTTCAGCAAGTGACTGAGTGCTTGCCAGGAGAGGAAGAGAATTCAATCCCCCCACTGTCTCAACTCTTATCACGGTAAAATATCCCCCAAAAGAACATAATTAAAAAGAAACAATTCTCAAAGTGACGGCTAAACAATATATTGCCCCACACTTTCTCCCTTTGGTTTATATAAAAAGCTTACAGCTTCAGTTCAACTGCCAAATGTGAGTTCAAGGGAGGGGATACTCATCATGATGAATCAATAATCAATTAATTGTTCTTTTAATCAACTGCTGATTATTGGCACAGATCCATTCAGACCCAATCTAATGTAAAATGGAAGTAGGCTCAACATAATGTTTTGCATATTTTTTCTATAAAGACTGCATTCACTGTTATTTTGTATAAAAGAACAACGTCAGCAAAAAAATCTGAAATTACACCATTAATAGAGTAGCAGAATGTTATGCAATGTATTTACATTGCACGTTCAACTCAGTCAAAAGAATTGCCTAAAATATTTTACTAATCACAAAGTGATGTTATAAAGTAGAAAGATTCTAAATGCCTATTAACACCATGGACGATAACCATAACGATAAAATAGTTCTAAAAATCGCTCTAATATAAAATAATCGTCCACACCACAACTATAACAATACATGGCACAGAGAAACAATATCGTTAAAATCACTTTCCGAATGATTTTCAGCTGATGAACAATAAAAACAATGACAGCCAATCAAAATCTGGTAAATTAAACTATATATACATATACAGTATATATATATATATATATATATTAGTGCTGTCAAACAATTAAAATATTTAATCGCGATTAATCGCATTAATGTCATAGTTAACTCGCGATTAATCACACATTTTCAAATTTTTAAAGTAAACTTTCCATTTAGAATCTTATTGGCATCCATTTCGGTGTCTCGCGCTAGTCATCCACTCAAAACGTAACGTTAACCAACTATCTATCCGGCTTGCAAGCCGAAACAAGTGTGTGCGGCGTGCCTGTTGTTTTGTTTCCGGTTTTGTTTCCAAAACATCCTAGCGTGGAGCAGGCCATTGAAATGAATGGATTTCATAGCGCAGCGCCGCGTATGGTGCGTCCTGTTGCAAAAGCATGTGGAAAAACGTGCAAAATTTGCTAGACCAAAAATACCGTTAATCACGCGTTAAAAAAATTGACGTCGTTAAAATGGGTTTGCGTTAATGCCGTTAATAACGCATTTAACTGACAGCCCTAATATATATATATATATATACATATACTGTATATATATACACATACACACAATATTAATACAAATATTTTCAAATGAAAACTAAAAGCATTGTAAGATTTTTAAAAGTTGGCTAAATCCACATTTGAAGTTATCTACTGTACATATGTTTTACCGTGTTTTATGTTTTACGCTATTACATATGTAATAGCGTATTAACAATGCATCAACTTCATTTAATGACAAACAATTATGAATCGATTATGAGAATTCCTACAATATTATTTGAGTGAGTACTTAAAGATTGGTAAAACCGCACTTGAATAACAAGCAGTCATGATGTGAAATGAATGTGGTTAATGGTGGCAAAGCTAAAACGGGCATCGACGCCATGCAGACAGAAAGAGCTATGCAGAGAGCTTACAAACTCCCTCAACTTTCAGAAAGCATCATGGGAGACTGACTAATGCACACTAGATTTTTTAAAGGTCATTCCTTATGAGGTATTAGCAGTGCGTTTGGAATAGTGACCTGTAATCATACAGACTCAGAAGTTCTGTCTACTCTAACAACCTGACTTTAATTAAGAAAGCACATTTCTTATTAATACATGAAAGAGCAGCCATTTAAACGGCTGAAGAAACTGACCCCACAACTTATCAACCTCTACTCTGCCATTTTTTTCTCTCTTTCCTTCTTTTTATTTAATGAGTTTTAGCAGCATAAAACCTTATTTAACTCCCCCAAGAGCGAAACCACAGAGTCCTTCACACTCACAGACTAACCAGGTCATCTCACACACACACATACTATACTGTCAGTGGGAAGCCGGTTGCTCCCTTATATCACCCTCAGAGCCGTGGGAACGGTCGCTAAGCAACAGTGAGTGGCGACGGGGCTCTCTGGGCCTCGTGGGATCTCATTTACGGACCGTTCATAAGCCCTCAGGAGAGTCTGAATCTCCTACCTGCTCTACAGATCTGACCTTCACACACACCCACACAAACATTACAACCACTGGCCAACACAGGTTTAGTTAAACCCATGAGGGCATTTTAACACTATGTCGATATGTGTGCATATACTTTCCGGCCTTTTCCGCTGTCGGATATCAAGGTTAATTGTGACGATAAAGCAACACTTACACATTAAAATGACATTGGCTCACAGGACTGGAACATTTTAATGGTTTATGAATGATTTGTTATATACTGGTTAATGCATAACTGGAGTGAATGGCTACCTTGGACGGTCATTGTAACAGTTACATCAAACTCCAGATTCAGTCAGCACTCAGATTAATACATTAATTTGGACCAGGGCAAACATTTCTAGGTAAATGTACCATGTCTGATTCTGAGAATACAAATAAGGATCCAGTGGCAATCTCACTGAGGCTATAGACCATTTCACAAGATTTAAACAACACTGGTCCAGAAACTTCCTGTTTCAGTTTGTAACTGTTTTCTTTATTTCACATGTAAAGAAAACATCGTAAAGATGTTTGTTTAACTTTTTGATTCAGTTTTAAATGTTCAGTTGGTTGTATTTTATCCCAGCTTTTATGTAGAGTTAAAAAACTGAAACAGGAAGTGCTTCTGGACCAGTGTTGTTTACATCTTGTGAAATGGTCTATATGCCATATCGTATTATTATTTCTTTCCAATTTTTATTTTTATTTTATCACATCCCCACATACAATGAATTAATCTGCCTTTTGCACTGTTACATTTAAAACGGGCATCTGGTATATTGCTATAATTTTTGTTTAGTTTTACCGGAGGTAGGTGCGCATATGCCAATTGTACAGTACTGCGTTTGGCCTTTTGCACATGTTTGCTCTTTATCTTTATTTATCTATCTTCAATCCAAGGTTTTGTTCCCACATGGCTAGTCTGGATGTAGATGACTCCTGAGAACCTAACAATAACATGTTGTATTTAAACTACCAGCACTTCTGAAGTAACTTTTCCAGGATTATTACGATAGTATAATTCCTCACAGCGCAGCAAGACAAGGTAAAGTACAAGATTATTATTAAACTGGAAGTTTTGTCCAGCTGATGTGGGCATTTTTATGGCTTACCTCAACATTTGCATTTGAATAGTGCGCACTCTCAGTGGGCGTGGTCACATATCTCTCTCTCTCTCTCTCTCTCTCTCTCTCACACACACACGGTTTGATTGCGCCCATGCCTCTCTTGCGCGCGCATCGCACGTCGCAGACATCGCAGCCTGTTCATTATGCTGTGTTCACATCAAACACGAATAGAGCGAATTATCCAATAATGTTTCACAATTCTAGCCTGCCTGGCATGCAGATGAAGGGCATGGCAGGGCAGGGCATTTTTTGAAAGAAATTAATACTTTTATTCAGCAAGATGTGTAAAATTGATGAAAAGTTATAGTAAAGATCTGTATTATTTGAAAAGATTTCTATTTTGAATTAAAAAAAAAAGCAGCACAACTGTTTTCAACATAATTGATAATAACGGAGTATCAAATCAGCATTTTAAAATGATTTCTTAAGGATCATATGACACAGAAAACTGGTGTAATGATGCTGAAAATTTAGCTATGCATCATAGGCAATAAATTATATTTTAATATTCAAATAGAAAAACATTATTTTAAATTGTAATAATATTTCATAATATTACTGTTTTTTGTATTTATTTATTTATTTTTGTTTTTATCAAATACATGCAGGCTTGGTGTTCTTACAGAAACATTAAAAATAGTAATGTTTCCAAACTTTTGACTGGTGCTGTAAATATACAATAACAAGCAATAGAATGACAGATGGAGAGGCAAATAAAGCAACGGGGCAGATAGGTAGGTAGATAGACACATATAAACAGACCTCAAAGATAATCTTTTTTTAGATATTTTATTTGCTATTTTTATGACAGAACTTCATTAAGTATGATGACAGCATCTGCAAACATGAAAATAATTAAATCACCTTAAAATATATTTTACATTTTTTTTGCTATATTTTTTTTCGTGTAAATATACCTTGAAACTTAACCCATAATCCTCCTTGAAGCAATTTCAATGAGATGATCTTCCATGGAGATTAAAAAAGCACTGTATAAAGAGAATGACCCTGTACCACTGTGCACAATCCCTCTGTGAATAAATAAATGAATTGAGAAACACTTGTGCCACAGTTCCAGCGTTTTGGATTCACAGATCTGAGTGGTGGTTATTTAATCAATCTAGAGGAGGACGGCGCTCCCTCAAATGTGTTACCTCAGCGACAGACACCATCTGGAGTTCCACCCTGTAATTACTGAAATATGATCTCCAGTCCTGATAAGAGTTACACTCCATCAGCCCAACACACACGCACACACAGTGTCAAAAACACCTTCCACAAATCTCATCTTTACATCCTTTAATAAGCTCTCAAAAGTGTACACAGCAGAAATGTTCCTCCTAGAGATAGATACTGCTGAAAAGTGTCTT